TATATAAATTTATAATTTAAAAATTGGCTTTAGAAATTTGACATTCTCGGGGCGCCTGGGTGGCACAGTCGGTTAAGCGTCCGACTTCAGCCAGGTCACGATCTTGCAGTCCGTGAGTTCGAGCCCCGCGTCAGGCTCTGGGCTGATGGCTCAGAGCCTGGAGCCTGTTTCCGATTCTCTGTCTCCCTCTCTCTCTGACCCTCCCCCGTTCATGCTCTGTCTCTCCCTGTCCCAAAAATAAATAAAGGTTGAAAAAAAAAATTAAAAAAAAAAAAAGAAATTTGACATTCTCATTCACTCTTAATCCAGTATGGTGCAACGCAAAGATACAGTATATATTCACTTTAAAAAATAAAAGAGAGTTCTGTTCAAATTAACACAGACGATTTACCCACAGTTACAATTATTTACTGAAAATACTGGTTTCCATAATAACCCAGTTCTTCTAAATTGTTTGTTTCGTGACCACTATAAATGGGATAGCATTTATATGGTTCATTAAAATTTCTCAAGAACCATAGCTATCATGAGAAATAATTAGAACAGAGACAAGGACATCCTGGTATGATTTACTTACCAGTGAGGTCTATTTCACATTTGTGTAAACCTACATAAACCATTTACTTTTCAGATAAGTTATTTCATCTTTATTGCTAATAGTCATGATTTTTTTCTTCCCTGACTCTTGGTTCTTTTGCATCAACTACTTTGACCCAGAACTCATCCTCCCATATGAAGTATGTGAAGTTTGTCACCCACATCCTCTATTTCCACTTTCAACTGTTTTTCCTCTCACCCCATATCACAGACCCCTTCTTAGAAGGTGGAGGATACTGATAAAGTATTCCCCAGACCGAGAAGGCACTTTAAGACCAAAACACAGAGCAATATGTTTACACCCCATATGTTTACAAAGAGTTTTACTCAGGGTAACTTCCTGACAGGAGTATCTGGCAGATGGATGATCCAGGTTGTAGGCAACCATTCTCTGCTCCATCCTCCACCTCTATTCTCTGCCCTGTTTGGACCTCAAGCCACAGCTTTTATAAAGGTAGGGGGACAGTGGTGAGGTTCTGGGGTAGTTCTCCAAAGGGGCACCGTCTGTGCACCAGAGGCTCACTACTAGTTATCTAAAGTGGATCCTTTAAGGTAGGATCTGAACAAGACTTCCTGCATTCTGGTCAAGGCACCCGTTACCCTCCAGGGGCCTGGAACGCGTACCACGGAGGCAGGTCATTGCATGGGCAGGGACAAGCTGCAGGGCCAGAGATGGAGTCAGTGTTTCTGCACTCCCACACCCCTGATTGCTGCTTCTCGGCTACTCGTGGTCCCCATCAAAGTAACCCCATCCTCCACCTCAAGTGAGGCCTCTCAGTGACTAAGGTCCTGATGGTTCATGAATGCCTCCCTACCAGCTATGATAAGAGGTTATACAGATTCTGTATATGAATGTCTTGCTAAGTAACGGCAAAACTAAGAGCAACAAATGCTACTATTTGTTTTCATATATTCATTTTACTATTGATTTTTAAAGGATGAGCACAAAGGAATTTTAGGAAAATAAGTCACAGAAGATGTAGCTGAAAGCAAAGCAAATTTCTCGTGTCTTTTTTTATAAACAAGCCCAACCCTAGGGAAGCCCAAATTCCTAGGGAAGTACAAGTACAGCCCAGTGGATATGGCCTCCACTTGGAACACTCAGACCTGGGGCCTGAAAAGCTATGTGATTCTAAAGGTGCCAGTTGGGGCACCTGGGGCACTCAGCCGGTTAGGCATCTGACTTCAGCTCAGGTCATGATCTTGTGGTTTGTGGCTTTGAGCCCTGCATCTGGCTCTGTGCTGGTGGCTCTGGGCTGACAGCTCAGGGCCTGGAGCCTGCTTCGGATTCTTCTCTCTCTGCCCCTCCCCTGTTTACACTCTGTCTCTCAAAAATGAATAAACATTAAAAAAAATTAAAAAAAAAAAAAGAAAACAAAGGTGCCAGTTTACCCTACTGGTTGGGACTCTGCTTCCTCATCTGGAACACGAAGCGCTCCTTAAGGTCCTTTCATTCCGAAAAATGTTTTAGTCTCAGTATCATACATACTGTCTAGCAAGAGCCTAGGCTAAAACCAAAAATGTTGTTTAAGGGGCGCCTGGGCGGCTCAGTCGGTTAAGCGGCCGACTTCGGCTCAGGTCAAGATCTCGCGGTCCATGAGTTCGAGCCCCGCGTCGGGCTCTGTGCTGACAGCTCGGAGCCTGGAGCCTGTTTCAGATTCTGTGTCTCCCTCTCTCTGACCCTGCCCTGTTCATGCTCTGTCTCTCTCTGTCTCAAAAATAAATAAACGTTAAAAAAAAAAAATGTTGTTTAAAATAAGTAATATTTGTGTCAATAAAAAAATGTTGTAGTTAATTAATGTGTAACTAATTACTATTTAAATAAATCCCACATCCTTTGGTCACTTCTTCTCAAAGGCAATCACATACATTCCCTAGGATACGCAATTCTACCCTTCACATTAACTACTGCTGCTGGTTCCTTCTGTGTATATACATGAACAAGTTATTTTTTAAAATGCCAAGCCAGACACACCAAAGCAAAGACAAAGAAAGGAAAAATGACAGTGGTATTTATCAAATCAATTCAAATGTTTTCATTTTCAAACCCTGTGATCATGCCTCCTCATATATATCTAACTCTTGGTAATCAACAGCATAATAAATATCTCACTTATCAAAAGGTCACTTATTTAACCACCTCAACAGCCTAAAACCTAGCCTAAAACCAGAAAGTATTAAAAAAGCAAAAAACAAAAAACCTCTATGCTGTCAAAATAGAAAGCCACAGTTCACACTCTAAAGTTCCCATACTTGTAAGAGAAACCCTCGTTCTGAGTACTTACTTTCGTCTTAATCACAAGCTAAGACTCAGTTAGCTGGGTTTCCTACCCACCACAGACAGGAAACAGATACACACAACAAACCGCAGGAGGTAGGCACATGACAGCAGCATTACTGTGGGCAACATGGAGAGAAAGAAAAAAACTCTACAAAGAAGACATAAAAGTATTTTTAAAGAATCAAGGAACAATCTAGGGTCATTCGGTATAGGAACAAATAACTCTACATTCCTTTTTTTTTTTTTTTAATTTTTTTTTTCAACGTTTATTTATTTTTGGAACAGAGAGAGACAGAGCATGAACGGGGGAGGGGCAGAGAGAGAGGGAGACACAGAATCGGAAACAGGCTCCAGGCTCCCAGCCATCAGCCCAGAGCCTGACGCGGGGCTCGAACTCACGGACCGCGAGATCGTGACCTGGCTGAAGTCGGACGCTTAACCGACTGCGCCACCCAGGCGCCCCTACATTCCTTCAAAACTCCTATAGTATTGCTAAACTATAGCAAAGTAGAATAACTCATGTTTGTGATAATATCCTAAGCAATCAGAAGTTTATAATTTTTTTAAGTTTATTTATTTATTTTGAGAGAGAGAGAGAGAGAGAGTATGCCCAAGTGGGGGAGGAACAGAGAGAGAGCAAGAGAGAGAGGATCCCAAGTAGGCTCCACACTGTCAGCACAGAGCCCGATGTGGGGCCCGAACCCACAAACCATGAGATAATGACCCAAGCTGAAATCAAGAGTCGGACGCTTGACTGAATGAACCACCCAGGTGCCCCATCAATCAGAAGTTTGATTCACATTTAGTACCTTCTCTTTAAGAAGGCAGGAAATGTGTAATACATTTTAGAAAATTTCACATCAAAAAAAAATGTTTGAAATTTAACAAGGGTTGGCAGTTGATGAATTAAGTTTGAATTAACAAGAAATTCACAAGAACACCATAGATAAACTAAATATTAGTGTAGTGATTTTCCAAAGAAACCATACTGACTTTGAAATTAATTCATAATTAATCCCCAAACATATTTTAGTCTTAATTTCAATATTTATCACCACCATTCCTAACCCCCCAAATATTAATTAAACCATAATAAATTTCCATTTTTGTAGGTAAAAGATGGTCAAACATCAACAATTTCACACAGTTCAACCTAAAATCTTTGCCAAAATTATTAATAATAAAACAAAGTGGTTTGCATTTTATCTTTTCTATCTCAAGCCTACCCTCTATCAGAAAAAGCTAATTATTAAGTAATAAAGACCCAAAATCCAACCAAAATGAAAATGAGTCCACAGTCACCCCCCATGACATTTTCTTTCTACTCCTCAAAAACAACAATCTTATTTATGCCTGAAAATCTCAACTCACACACAGACAAACACACACAGCTCCAAAAATATCCGATAGGTCTGGGCTTAAGCACTATAGTTTTTCATAGACACTACAGTTAAACATAATACTGAAATGTGTGCATGCATACCTGTTATGTTCATTTATAAATATTTAAAAAATAAAATATGCTTAACAACTAATTGTCAGAGCAGTTAAGTATGATCCAAATAAATATAATGAACACTCAAGGGTGTGTGTTTGTGTGTGTGTGTGTTTTAACGTTTATTTATTTTGAGAGACAGAGAGAGAGCGAGCATGAAGAGAGGAGGGTCGGAGGGGGGCGGGCAGAGAGAATCCCAAGCAGGCTCCATACTGTCAGTGCAGAGCCCAACATGGGGCTCAATCCCACAAACCGTGAGATCATGACCTGAGTTGAAATCAAGAGTCAGACGCACAACCAACTGAGCCACCCAGGTGCCCCATGGACACTCAAGGTTTTTAGTTATATAAAGTAAGTTGGGATTCAGTCTGCTTTCAGATTCAAAATATTGTATTTTGATTTTCCTCAAAACAAGGAACACCTATATTGGACAAACTAGAATAAGGAATAATTTATCAATGGGGGAAAAAAGCTATTTCTAATCTTGCCAGTGTTGTTATGCCAATATAGGATATAACAAAGTTATCCTAGGATGTGCAAAAAAGTTTCCTTATGAGTTTCTTCCTTCCCTGTGCCCAGCTAGTATCTTTCTAGGTTCAAGTCTACATGTACTGCATTTTGGGAGAGTACATGTCCAAACACAAGGAGCTCCCACAATGACCTCCTGGCTCCCAATTCCACATTGACCCTATTCCAAATGTCAACTGCTCTCTAACTCAGAATTGCCTCCATATGTGTGCCTCTACAAGTATGAATCCCCTGACATGATATAAATACAAAATATTATCTCCCACAAATTAAATAATGCTAGCAATATGGGTGCATTCAAGAATGGACAGTTGCTTACATAATCAGACAGAACCCTGAGAAATTTCAGTCCTTTAAGAATCCAAACTGAGAGACATCTACCAGCAAAAGCTTATGTGCAGCTTTGATAACTGTCATCAAGCTTATTTCATGTATCTTTTCTAAAAATGCAAATTTATTACACAGAAGGTATAAGCCAAATGACACAATTTTGTTTTTTTCTTAAAATATATGCTAAAAGCATAGAATACTCAAAATCACAAAGACAGAATACCCTAACACAATAAATAACCAAGGGCTCAATCATATGAGAATACTCCTCTTAGCTACAAAAACCTAAAAGGCGGGTTGGGGGACTGCGGGGGGTGGAGAGACACCAAAAAAGTTCAGGACAAAAGATTCATATAAATCCTGAAAATGTCTGTTAAATGATGTAATTTTTATAGCTTTCCATAAAACTACATGGTTTTAACACATCAATAAAAGCAAACTCCTAAAGCAGAGACATACATTGTTATTAATGATTCAATGAATTCACCGTGGAAGCTAAAGCTGGCGGGGCCAGCCAGGACTTCAGGTTTTCTCTTGCTCCCGCTGTGTTTTGCACAGTGTGTCATCACTGTAACTGACTAGCAAAGTGAAGGTGGCTGCTGGCACCCTTTTTTGAGGTTGGCCAATTAAACTCTGTAGCCTCTCACACTGGCAATGTTTACTGGCTAGCTCCTGAACACTAAAGGTGCCAAATCAGATTTTCTCCTCGCTGACTTCCTTCACTTCTTATCAAGTCTATCCACCATTCCCAGCTTCGCGAATGTTCCCGGAAGTAGCTTTCTATAGATGACCATTCCTTACCAATCTTACAGAATCAAAAATATTTAAGGCTAAAGGGAACAAAGATTTACTCTGGGGGTTTACAACCACGGTGTTGCTGTACTGATGTCAGGTGATGTGTCACAAATAACTATTAACTTTCTCTCCCCTTTTTTTCAATTGGGGGGGAAATGTATATAATACAAAATTAACCATTTTAAAGAGTTTTTTTTTTTTTTAATTTTAGAGAGAGACAAAGACAGAGACAGAGACAGAGCATGAGCATGAGCAGGGGAGAGGGGCAGAGGCAGAGAGAGAGAGAGAGAGAGAGAGAGAGAGAGAGAGAATCTCAAACAGGTTCCATGCTCAGTGCTGAGCCTGATGCAGGGCTCTAGCCCACAACCCTGGAATCATGACCTGAGCTGAAATCAAGAGTCAGACTGTCAAATAAACACTAAAAAAAAAAAGGGGGGGGGGGGGGCCTGCATGGCTCAGTCGGTTAAGCACCTGACTTCGGCTCAGGTCATGATCTCAGGTTCGTGAGTTCGAGCCCTGTGTTGGGCTCTGTGCTGACAGCTCAGAGCCTGGAGCCTGCTTCAGATTCTGTGTCTCCCTCTCTCTCTGCCCCTCCCCCACTCATGCTCGCTCACTCTCCCTCTCTCTCTCAAAATAAATGAACATTAAAAAAAAAAAGAGTCAGGGGCGCCTGGGTGGCGCAGTCGGTTAAGCGTCCGACTTCAGCCAGGTCACGATCTCGCAGTCCGTGAGTTCGAGCCCCGTGTCAGGCTCTGGGCTGATGGCTCAGAGCCTGGAGCGTGTTTCCGATTCTGTGTCTCCCTCTCTCTCTGCCCCTCCCCCGTTCATGCTCTCTCTCTGTCCCAAAAATAAATAAACGTTGAAAAAAAAAAAAAATTAAAAAAAAAAAAAGTCAGATGCTCAACCAACTGAGCCACCCAGGCGCCCCACAAAATTAGCCATTTTAAAGGGTACAATGCAGTTGCACACAGTACATTCACAATATTGTGCAGCCACTACCTCATAACTGTGACTTTTTCTTTTTCTTTTAATGTTTATTTATTTTGAGAGAGAGAATGAGTGGGGGAGGGGCAGAAAGAAAGAGGGAGAGAGACAATCCCAAGGAGGCTCCATGCTGCCAGTGCAGAGGCCGCTGCAGGGCTCGATCTCACAAAACATGAGATCAGGACCTGAGCCGAAATCAAGAGTCAGACGCTTACTTAACCAACTGAGCCACCCAGGCACCCCTGTGACTTCATTTTTAATGGGTGCATAGTTAAGATTACCCCTTCAATGAATCACCCTCCCTCAGAGTCAATATGGTGTTCTAAGAGGGTGAGAAATGGGCAGATATAAACTTGCACGTTAGGCATCTTCAATACCTGGCAAAGTCAACCAACTGGTTGAAGATCACTGGCCACCTCGTTCCATAGATGCATTACATTTTTTCAAACATTCACTCATTCAGTTACGACCCTGTAACATTCCACTGGTAGAGACGGACACACCGACAGCTACAGTGCAGGGCTATGACTGTAGCCCATACAAGTACAGTCAAAGGAGAGTGTTGCCAGCTATGCCCAGCAATGACAGAAGATTCATGAAGGAGAAGAAGACTGAGTTAGCTCTCAGAGTCATGACCAGTGATGACAGGAAGGTAAATTAAGGAGAGTACTACAAGGAGAAGAGATTGGAGGCAAAGAAGGAGTAAACGCAAATGCACAGCAGCCATGCCCTGATGAGCCATAGCCAGCTGCATTGTAGGATACAGTCACACCAACAGGCAAAAATGCAGTAAGTACATTTTAGGTGCGAGGCGCTCCTCGTACCCATTTTACATCATATCCTCATAGTCATACTAGGAGCTAAGTGCCATTCGCCTTCAGTAGATGAGACATCTGAGGTCTACAGAGGTTAAGGAATGGCTACACAGCTACAAAGCGGCTGAGTAAGGCAGTCAATTCAAAGCCAGGCCGTCTAGCTGCAGAGCCCATTGTCTTCATCTCTATACAGTCTACACTACAATTTCCTTCCTCCTCCCCCCCCTCCTCCTCCTCCTCCTCCTTCTCCTCCTTCTTCTTCTTCTAATAAAATTAGTTACTTAAGGCACAATCTTTCGTGATGGAAACTACAGTCGACCACAGCACACTGAAGGTCAACAAACGACTGACAGGAACAGTGAGGGGGCACCACTAAGGATCCCTGGCAGCCTCTGAACCAGTGAGCACACAAGTGGCAAGCCATACTGGAAGATCAGCAAAACTTGATTTGTTTCTTATTCTTTTAAATTAAAAAAAAAAAAAAAACCCATAAAAACAGAAGTTTTCGTATTTTCCTCATAACCCAGTTATTTTCTTCCACATCCCCTAACCCAAGGTGTGCTTACCCACTTGGAAGACCTCTACTAAACAATGGAGAGACACAGCAGGGTTTTAAGGAGGTGAATAATGTGAACATGTGTGGGGGCAGGAGGAGGGGAGGAGGCTAACAATAACTCTAAGAGGAGTAAGAAGGAAAAACCAGAGGAAAAAAAAAGAGACCAGGAAAAGAAAAATCATTAGGATGCCATTTGCAAGACATCCAGCAAGTGATAATGAGGTGCTAACCTATAACAGTGGGGGGTCACATGTGAAAGATTAAATGACATGCCCAAGGACACAAGTCATGGGAAGTGCCCGAACAAAAACCTCGGTCTCTAGGTTGCACTGACCTGGGAACGGTGTATAGAATGGATTTGCAGAAAGACCTTTATCATGAAATTTGTGAGACTTCTCTTTCCACGTACTTTTGTCCACAATGTTTGATTATTTTTAAGTCTAATTTTATACTATTACATTAAAAGGGGGGGGGGCACCTGGGTGGCTCAGTCGACTAAGCGTCTGCCTTTGGCTCAGGCCAGGATCTCACAGCTCCTGAGTTCGAGCCCGGCATCGGGCTCCATGCTAACAGCTCGGAGCCTGGAGCCTGCTTCGGATTCTGTGTCTCCCTCTCTCTCTGCCCCTCCCTTGTTCATGCATTGCCTCATTCTCTCTCTTTCTGTCTCTAATATAAATAAACATTAAAAAGAATTCTTTTTTAATTTGAGACTTTTCACTTCCAAATCCAGAAACAAAATACTTTATCATAGAGAAAGTACAGGGATTTGAAATACACCCTTCTGTAAAAGGAATAAGCTATTCCAAGACACAGATTTACAGGATGGAATCCTTACAAGTGAGCTTCCAAACAAGCTTTTTAAATGAAGTGCTATCAGAGAAGTCATTTAAGAAGCCAGATTCACATTGTATTAATGTGACAAGTATAACAAGATAAATACATCATATGATTCTCAAATGACATAATTAATGTCGCTTATGTGACATATTCCTATTAATGATCTTTTATTATGTGTGAACAGTAAAATAACATTAGATAAGCAATGAAAAAATCCAATCAGCAGCAGCTTTCCTGCAGGTTTTGACTGCAGTCTTATTTACACAGTGTTATCTGATACTAATCCTTGGATTTTAAAGAGCAGGAATCACTTCAGAATTGTAAACAAACATGCTTCTATGCAATGAGCATTTTAATTACTATCATTTCTGCAAGTACAAGATAAAAATAATGTGTGGTATGATAGCCTCACAGGGGAAAGTATATTTTGCCAGGCCAATAAGGTTACATTAATAAAAGGATCATGACACTGAATCAGGAGTCTGGTCCATGGCTCCTGGTAGTATGTCATTTTAACAATGAATGCCACGGATTTTCTGTGGAAAGTGTGGCTGTCCCCTCCCTTCCTAACATTCTCTACAAAAGACCAGAATCAAGTGTCAAAATATTCTGGTGCTCTTTAATAATCCACTACAGTCTAGTATCTATGAATCAATTGAAATATTTTGTATCTTTTCTTACATGTAAACTTACTACTACCTCTTAGAATAAGAAAGTCTAAAGATCCAAGTTTTACAAAGTGATAGTTCTTTTTTACTTTTACATCAATATTTATTGAGCAACTATATTATCCTTGACACCAAAAAAAGAGGTATGAGATATGGTTCCCAAACTCAAGGAACTTGAAGTGTAATTGAGAGGCTGGATACGAAAAGAGATTTTTTAAAAGATTGCTATCTCATGGTTTCATGAGTTTGAGCCCCAAGTTGGGCTCTGTACTGGCATCACGGAAACTGCTTCAGATTCTCTCTCTCCCCTCTCCCTCTTTCTGCTCCTTCCTCACTCATGCTGTCTCTGTCTCTCTCAAAATAAATAAATAAACTTTAAAATTTTAGTTAAAAAAAAAAAGATTGGTATCAATAAAAGGCACTCAGCCTAGAAGAGCATAGATTCTAAATGCTCCAAGAATTCAGAGGTAGATAAAATCACTGTGTCTCTTCAAGAAGGAGAGGGAAGAAGAGCATCTTGGTGCCAGTATCCAGAAATGAGGGAGCAGAGCTATGGCTAACCTTCTTATATACTGAGATCACCTCAGCAATCAGCCTTTATCTTTCCTGGATAAACTCCCAAGTACAGGGGTGAAGAACACACATCTTGAAGTAAACCAGGGCTGGTCCAATCCTGCCATGCTATGTGACTCTGGCTAAGTCATTGCATCTCTCTAAACCTGTTTCCTTCTCTGTAAAATGCAACATATAACACCTGCCACCTCACTGAAAAAGAATTAAATCAATGGATGCGAGAACAAGTAGAGATGCTTACTGGCATGAAAAAAATGGCAGCATGATATTAAATGTCATTCTTACCATGATGCAATCACAGTTGCACAGAATCGTACTTTTTAGGGAGAATTACAGGGCTCTTGGTAGGAGGTCCCCTATGCTCTGGAAGACTGGGTCCTAAGTTCCTCACTGGTTGTGAGGGTGAAACGTGATTAATCACGTTTTGGTGGTTTCTTGGCGAAAAGTTTAGGAGACCCTAATTGAATATTGGAGCACACATCTTGAATTTTAGTATTCAGTTTAACTCAGCAAGTAAAGAAAGAGGACTAAGGAGCTCCCCTCCATCAGGTATCCCAGCTGTATTCTCAGAGACAAAGCAGCCTAGAAGCTATGGTCATTCTCTTAAGAGTTATCCCGGAATTGATAAAAGCCAGGACTGGTAGCTGACAGGACACCAGGACAGCGAGTTACCAACCAATCCTAGTCATAAAGCCCAGCTATAGACAAATGCTATTTGGGGCAGCCAGCATTCTATAGATGATCTTCCCAGCTTTGTTAAAATCACATCAATGCAGTATCACTTTTCATCTGTAGCGTAAAGGATTTTTATGAAACAGTTTGGCAAAACACATGGCATGTGACTATTCTACTACAAATGTGTTAGCAGACCCAGCCAGAAACCATGGCAATGATCTGATCATGAGAGTATTCTTGAAAGAATAAGAAAATAAACCTAATTTTTATAAAGACTTACTGTTGCCCTACCGGTTTTGAATACTGAGTATTGTCCAAAGAAGCTTCCATTTCCAATGTAGAAACATCAAGAATTGTTCTCAAGCCACCACCAAAAAATCACACAGTATTTGATGGCTCAGCTTATTTTTTAATCTTCTATGAACTCTGCAGAATTATATCTGGATCTTTATAACATGATGGTTTGGGATTATGAATACAGTGGATAAACACAACCTTCTGTTATAGCCATTTAAGCATCATAGAGTGAGTAAATACTGCAGAGTGAATCCTAACACTTGAAACAGAATCTTCCAGAGTCCAGAAATCCA